ATTGTATTTGTTTCTGCAGTGGAGGGCAAAATCCAAAAGCACACAGTAAAATTACCATGAAAGTCATCATGAACAGAGACTGTGCACGAGCACCTTCCTTCCTTACCATGTAATCCCAGGAAACTAACCCCTCCGAAACACAAATAGATGAACAAGTTTTATGCCACAGCTATCTATTGCAGTTCATTACAGAACGATATGCACACACACAAGACTTAATGATCTTAAAATGTTCTTCATTAATTAGTTCCTCATGGCTTTTGAGTCTTTTTAGAAAGTTCAAGAAAAAAGCATGTCTGGTTTTAAAGTAAGAATATGCTCTTCTCCAGAACTACAGTAAAAACAGATTAATGCCAAAATTAAATGGACTTTTAAAAGAAAGAGCCATCACACATATATGAATTGTTAATAAAATTGTTCATTTAAAATGTTAATTTAAATAGATCTTAGTCATAAAATGTTTGTGCTTTATTCCATTGAATGAGAAAGTTTGTTAATCCATGCTAGGAAAAAAAATAAGGACAACAGCATAGTTATTTTTAAACATGGATATTCTCCAGACTAAAGGAAAGTGTACAGCGCCTGAGCAGGAAAGACATTGATTTTCACTTTATTTATGTTGTTTTCATCCACTGGAACATTTCAGAAAACTGTCCTCTATCCAATTTGATGAATACTGGCGTGATAAAATGTTTTGTTTTAAGGTTTGACAGGTCATGCTATAACTCATGTTTGCTTGTTTTTTCCTCCAGAAAACATTCCTACGAAAACAGCGTCGTTCACAGAACGACGACCTTCTAAAACAGATGGGAAGAGTTGGGTGCTTCAAACTTCCAAAAGCCACACTTCAGAAAGAAAAAATATGGATTTATGAAAACATGAAGGTATATTCCCAGATGGACACTCCAGAGATGTTTCTAGCACAATACATGATTTATTTATAGAGCTTTGATGATTCAAATGACAGAGAGAGACTAGGCTTGGGATTTATTTAGTTAGTTATTAAGCAGACTGTGAGTAAGAACAGTTACATAACACAACTGGCAACTTGGTTCACTTTGATCCGAGTAGCTCTCTCCAAGATGTTTTGTGTTACTCTCTTCTGAAATGCAACGTAGCAATGGAAGGGGCTGCTTCATGAACTATCTCCTTAGTACCGTAGTGTTTAATCAGCAACATCAAAACAAACTCTATTGCTCCCAAGACACTGCAGTCTCTGCAAGACTATTCTTATGCTCAATGGCATAAAAATACCCATTAGAACTTGTGCTTCAAGCCAGAACTTCTTAGCAGAGACTGTATGAGAATTACCCAACAAAAAGATCTTTAGTTTAAAACAGTGGCCCTCAGTTAAATAGAAGACAAGCCTCCCCATTTTGCAATGCCGAATTAATACCTATGCAATAAAATTAAAAGGATAAACTATTCCTTAGCTGACTGAATAAGGATGCCCTTGGTATTTGCTATGCCAAAAATATGACATTAATAAAAGCAGTAAGTAGCTACCATGTTCCTGCAAGTCAGCCTTTTAGCCAATTTGAATTTATGCTGGCTAGTTCTACTCCAATTGGGCTTTATCTCCAGTTGCACAAGATTATTCCATGAACATCAGTTTTGCTCCTTAGTTCCATTAGTACAAGAGGTGTTAATATTTTCACTGTCATCCCCATGTAAAAATAGCATGCCAAATTCTAAAGTAGAATTTGGCACAAAAATTAAGATTCAATACCTTTGGATGCCTTATCTTCATAAATACTACATCTTTACAACCAATCTCTTCAGGCCATTTACTGCATCTCTGAAATAGATGAATATTTTGGTTTTTCTGGAAGGTAAAAGGAAGCATCAAGTAACTGTTCCTCAAAGAAAATACAAAACATGACTTACTGCACATGCCAACAAAATAACATAAAACTGGGGATGGAATCAAGTCACAAGGTTGAGTAAATACAAATGTACACCCTTCTTCTAGAGGGCTTTTCTGAACAGGGAATTGGATTTCATCCTGTTCTATTAATTGGCTTTCAGGAACAGAAAGGCAGCGTAATTTTTTTTTTTAAAACTACAAATTGGGATAGAATTTTCTTTGGAAATAGCTAACAGGGAAAAACAACATGCCTTTGGGCAAAAACTCAAAGTCCTCCAGAATTGTTTCTCAGAATGTAAAGCTGATGGGTGCTGTAACTTTCGTCTTTTACTGTTGAAGGAAGCGAATGTGTACTACAGACCTATTACTCTTCATCACTTCTTGATTAATAAAGCAGCTTTCTGCAGTCTTCAGGAGGGCAAGAGGAGGCAGGTGGGGGGATTGCTAATCTGATTCTCAAAGTGTTCATAAATCTCAGCAAGATTTTAATGGATGAGTGTTCTGAAGGTCTGAAGAAAATCAGATCAGAAGACATTAATGGATTAGCTGCTTCTCTAAAATTTACATATACAAGTGCATAGAACATCTGCCCACATCTGTCTGTGCACATCTGGGCCAAACCACCAAGCCACAAAGAGCATATGACAACGAATAGCCCCATGATCAGAAACCTTGCTCCTGACATTGCTGATGCAAAGCTCTGAAATATTAACAAACTCCCAAAGAGCACGTTTTATGTGCAGCTCTACCATACCAGACCTGAAGATACCAACATTCCACACCTTCCCCTCACTGTGATATTAATTTGCTGAATAAGATGCAAAGATTTTTTTTTTCTGATTTCAAGTCTACTGTCAAAAATAGGTATGCTCTGTAAAATATGAATACTCAAACGGAAATTTAAAAGTATTTTTCTTCTCTGAAAGTATAAAATTTTCTGCCTCAGACAGCTTTAAAGCTTATGAAGAAAGGTTAAAAAATAGTTTCTCCCATAACTGTACATATACTTTATCATGCTACAGCCTTTTCTGACAACTCATGTCAGACTAGCCAGAATTCATTAAAAATTTGCAAAGGACATTTTCAGGAAAATAGACAATCTTTATAAATACTTGCTTTAATTCCAATTTAAAATAAGATAGTACAGATTTGCTTTACCTTGAACAATATCTGTATTATATTAATTTCATCACTTAATTTGTGTCACTTCTCCTCCTCCTCATCAGGATTTTAAAACAGCCAAATTAAAATGGCAAAACCCAGTGATGAAGCATCACTAAGTGTCTTCAGAATATGTTACCCAGTACACAGAAGGTGTTAAATTTTGCACCTACTTCGGCTTCCAGTGCATTTATGACACAATTCCACATATAACATTGTCCAAATCCAATCTCTCTGACACAAAGACACACAATATTAATACTCATTAAAATATCCTTACTACAAGGGAAGACAGTCCCGGGCACAGTGTTTATCAGATAGTCCACCAAGAGCCAATTAATGATGCAAGGGGTGAGCTTAGATGAGTTGAACATTAACAGAGAGGATCAAAGAGTCAAATATATTATCAGGAAAGCTTTCTGATCGCTCCTTCCACCCAACCAGAGTAACTCAGACTTCCTTCCCGCTGATTTTCACCAATCTGGGGGAAAAGAAGAAACTAGAAACTAGAAGAAACATGTGTAAAACTGGCAAATCCAAACCTCTCCAGTCATCAGACTGACATCGATCAAGATCTGAGAACAAAGGACTTGGCACTTGTCCTTCCACATACTTCTTAATCGTGGAAGCAGATAACCTAGCCTAAACCTATCTGATTTTATCCAGATAGCACAAAAGAAATTTTCTTACGGTGGAAGCCAAAAAGGAAATGCAGATAAAGTACATCAGGGAAGAATTCATATGGAGGATATAAAAAACAGTACAATTACCGCATGCCGATTAAAAAGAGAATTTTGCTATAAATAGCGGCAATCATAAAGTAACATATTTCCAGTCTATAGCTACAGAACTTGGATTTTCACATGGACATATCAGTACTATCTGCAATCTGATGGTTCTGTGAGGGTAACTCTTTGGATGGCCTCACCCTCCTTTTAATCTTCCATTGACCCAAAAATCAAATACCCTTTGGCAATAACTCTTGTCACAACACACAGACAGGACAGAAGATTTCAAAAGCTCCCCGTGAAACACGTAAACTGTGTGAGTGCACATGCAAGTGGCAGAATCCTACGTTCAAATGCCTTAGAGCAATATTTTCAGCAAGTCTTCGGCACATGAGACATTCGACACGCAGATTTCTGAGGTTTTCTAAGTATTAGGGTTAATAGTGTGTCAAACTGAGTTATGCACAAAATCTAGCATCTGGAATTATGAGTCAGGTCTGAAGACTTTGAATGATCTCTTAAATATTCAATTTCAGTCATAAACATAAAATTAACAAGGTATGGCTATAAAATATGTTATTTTCACCTAAAAACTGAAGTGTCATATATCCCATCATTTGGGATTGAAAAATACTAATTAACATTCACTTCAATATTTCCAACCGCATGAAATTGAATCTCTTTATAAGGCTATAACATTCTTAGATTCCACTGAATCCGATTTCCCGTTCTCCAAATCTTGAAGTACAAGTCTCAGTCTCTGACACCACACACTATCCTACAACAAGCTCATTTATAATCAGAATTTCCTGATAAAAAACGTTTGCAGTTGCCAAAAAGAACATTTTGCTTTCATAAGAACTACACATATGAACTGGCACAATAAGTTAGAGGAGGAGATCAAGTAGATTTCATTTGCCAGAGAAGGCAGATATTTTCCTGGAACAATATTTCAAACCGGCAGTAGCAAATCCTGTAGGTTGCACATCTTAATTAAAACAGCTTAAAATATTAAGTTGCGCTGCTAGAGTGGGGCACTCTTAAAATTTTATGAGTCATTTTAATTAGCTCTTCTGCCTGCTAAACTACTGGAAATGAAGATGATTCATTCAGCTCATGATGTGATCTCGTGCTTGCTGTGCTGCCTTCCAACTCAAGGCTCGGCCAGTGCTGCAAGGTCTGAAGCAGCGGGTTGAGCCCCAGTGCATTCCACAACCCCAGCCCCTCTGCTCGGATGCACCTACCTTCGGAGTTCAGAGTGATAAGGGTGACGTTGTTGCCAATGCTCTGGCCGCCCAGCTGCCCACTGTTGGAGATGGAGTCGCTGGCCTCGGAGCCGCTCTCGCCGTCCTCGTTGTGACTGTCGTCGTGCCCTGGCACTTTCACCACGATGGTGTTCTGCCTGCGGCCAGGGACAGCGCTGGGAAAGAGAGAAGGACACGCTTTGAGAAAACAGAATCCTTCATGAGGACTACTACTACCATACGGGAATTAAGAATACTATTTGTGAAAACTAAGCAGAGACTAAAAGTATACCCTTCTAACAAACCTACTCTTGCTAAGAGTTATCCAGCAAAATAATAAAAAGCAAACAGAATAAATTTTAAAATTTAAATGCATGCTTTCTAAATTTGCATCAGTGGAAAGTCCTGGCTCAGTGTGCAAAACAAACCAAATTATTTAAATAATAAGATTTTTGAATATATTATTTAAATTTATTTTTCTATCTAGAATCTCCCTTTCCACTTAAATTTTACCTTAGGACAAAAATTACCAAACGTCACTGGGCTGCTGTGTACTGTTAATTTGGAGCTGGTCTGGTGTTACCCTGGGCAGAACTGGCAGCTTGACACAGGGTCAGGCATTGACCCTTTCCTCCCCACGCCATCACCCAGGACATTCCTCATCTTGCACTTGGACCTATAGCACCGACTGCTACTGCTCCGTTCAGAAAGAGGGAGGGAAGGACTGCAGTGACTGCTACCCACTTGCTAAGGATATTTTCCAAGGAATCCGTCGCTCTGCTCAAGGGCTCTTCCTGCCCGACCATCTTGGCTACAATCGAATTCTGTCGGTCGTTGTTCAGTATTACTGTGGTCTGGGGGACAACACTAGAAGACAAAATCAGACACGGACACAGATTATAGAGGAACGGACCTTTTAAAGAATACATTAACCCAGTCCTTTTATTCAAATGGTCTGCTTTAAACCTGAGCACACTAAGACTTCTTTTTTTCCTCCCGGCATTGCAGTGATATATCAAAAGCTAAAGCTGGTAATCCATTGCGTTTGACATCTGTCCCATTCCAAGCACTCATAATTCTTTCAGAGGACTGACAGCTTCATTGGAATTATGTAAGAGTCCATGACCCCTGGCAAAATGATAAAGAATTCATCAAGTTAAGATACACAGGAGGAAGTCTGTAAACCACAGCTCCAAAGAGACATCAAACACTTGTTTTGTAAAGTCTGAGCGAGCATTTTCATAGACACTGTGGCCAATTTACATGGAGAATTAGCATTTTTAATGGGGTATTTCCTTAAAGATAGTTAAAATTTTTAGTTTTATTGCAAAACAGGATTATGAGCTCAGTTTAAAAATATGTATTGTTTTCCAGGGTTAGGGATTTGTGTGGGGGACATTGTTGGGGAAGGGATGAGGAGGAGATTGGGAGCACGAGAGTAACAGAGACAGTAACCTGAAATAATGACAAGACTGAAACATCCATTTAGGGCATTTAACATAAAATAAACAAATAAAGCACAACAGAAAAACATTTAGTGCATGATGCCATGAAAACTGCCTTCTCTGTCACTTACGATGATAATGCAGAATAAAATGTGCAGAAGCAAGTAACTAGAATGCTGCATAGAAAAAAACAAGTTACAATACAGAAGTGAATGAAATAAATTCTTGGTGTACAGCTTGTTTTTTAATTTCATCTCAGAGATTATCCCCATTTTACCACCACACCATTAAAAAAGTAAAAATGGCATTTAACAGTCTGGCATTTAGGAGCGTTTTCACTATAAACTTAAGGAGACAACTTAAAAGAAAACTTGCGGTTTGGTAACAGAAAAGACTTTCTTCTTTTGCTTTGCCTCCCACAGTAAAAAAGTCCACTTTTTTATTGTTTTTACAAGTTCACCCTCTCAGACATGAGTGATGGTCATTTATTTTTCTTAACTGTGTTCCTTGGCTAATTGTTGAAACACAAATACAAAAGACAAAGCTGATGACAGCGACTCTGTTTACTTCAGCTGGAACACAGCGGCTGCCTGCATGAATATTCATGTCCTACACAAGGCATCAGGGCTACAAGACCAATCGTAAAGAGCCAAAGAAGAGGTAAGAAACCATCCTAAGAACTAACAATAAAAGAGACCCCAAATTTGGCTCAGCTAAAGTGGTTGACAGCTTATCCTGGATGCAAGAAACCCCAGGGCCTAACTCCTTGCCCCGCTTTTTACAGTAACTGCATCTGTTGCTAGCAATGCCTGGGATTCCTTGTGGACTGCCAAGGATCCTGCCAAGGATCCGCTGGACCGCAGGCTCCCTCGAGCTCTGCAAGACGTCTGTCTAATCCTGGACAGGCACAGAACGTGCTACAGCTCTTCCTATGTGTGTGAAGTTCAGCGATCGCAATCCCAAGCTTTTTAAGCTGCGATTTTAAGCATCGGAAAATCACAAGATTGACCTGAAGTAATGCGTTGCACTAAATAATAAATGCTTGAATGTTTTGTTGGTGGTGGTGTTGCTATAAAAGGTGTGTGAATTACATAGTCACTTTTCCAAAATTTCACCCTTATCACGGGGAAAAAAAAACATTTATACATTAATGGAGACAAAGTTTTCTTATTAAAAAAAAAACAGGTATTTCTAACTATTTTCTCAATGCCAGGACTGAAAGCTTCAAGAAACATCAAATATTAATAAATCCTTGTTGAAATACTGAGTAGTACCAGTTCTGGAAGTCCACGGTCTATAGTAACAACATATGTCCCCTTTTATTTCCCAAAGGGCCCAAACGGTTACATCTGATGTTTTCACATGCCCGTTTAAAACATTTATATATTTTACACTCCCTTTCAGACATTGTTCTTTATCACAGTTATCTTCCTTACAGTCACTTTTGAATGCATGCCTACAATGTCACTTATCAACATTTATTTTTAATGAATACTCAGAATAATTAATTGCAGCTGTAGAGATAAATGCAATAATATTCCATTTAGAGAATCCTCGGGCTTTTGCTTGTTTTAAATTTATCATTGCAAAAAGAGCCTTAGCAGTAAAAATAGACATAAAAACACAATTTTAAAAAATTAAGAAAAAGATCGTTCATTTTTTAAGAAAGAGCCAGAGAGTGAACCAGATGTCAAATAACTGAAGTAACTAATTATTAAACTGAAGCTAATTTACAATGAGGAAATACTTTGTTATAACCCACCAGCACTGAGTTTTACTTCAGTGTGATAATGTGTGTTCCAGCTTGCTTACTTGGATGTATTTGCATTATTTCAGACTATCCTCAAGTAAAAACCAATGAAAACGGTGGCCTCTCCCTAAGCATTAATTTTTCCCAATTAGCAAAATGGATTATTGGTAGGGAAAAAATAAAATAAAAAATAAATCTACCATCCCAATTGTTTGTGGAGGAGCCTCTAAACGTGTCATTTTACTGACACTTACTTTCCTGGCTGTAAAGCTCCACGGCAAAAAGCTGCACATGCACAAGGAAAAACTCTGCAACGAGCCACGGTGACTGCCAAGTTGTCCCCGTGTTCTGCCTGGGGAACTGAAGCTACTGGGCTCTAAGGATTCACAGAATCTATAAATCAATTAACCAAGCAGGACATCTGGTTTCAAAACAGCCGCGCGCAGCTCCGCATCTACTACGAGGGAATATCAGCACTAGATAAAAGATCTGGGTCTACGAATGCAATGACTCTGGTGAGCTCTATTGTATTTTGATCCTTCAAAGGAAAAAAGAGAAATGGAGAAAAGGAGAAGAAAAAGAAAAAGCACAAAAGGAAAAAAAGAAAAAGAAAAAGCACAAAAGGAAAAAAAGAAAAAGAAAAAGCACAAAAGGAAAAAAAGAAAAAGAAAAAGCACAAAAGGAAAAAAAAGAAAAAGAAAAAGCACAAAAGGAAAAAAAAGAAAAAGCACAAAAGGAAAAAAAAGAAAAAGCACAAAAGGAAAAAAAAAAGAAAAAGCACAAAAGGAAAAAAAAAGAAAAAGCACAAAAAGAAAAAAAAAAGAAAAAAGCACAAAAAGAAAAAAAAAAGAAAAAGCACAAAAGGAAAAAAAAAAGAAAAAGCACAAAAGGAAAAAAAAAGAAAAAGCACAAAAAGAAAAAAAAAAGAAAAAGCACAAAAAGAAAAAAAAAGAAAAAGCACAAAAAGAAAAAAAAAGAAAAAGCACAAAAAGAAAAAAAAAGAAAAAGAAAAAAGAAGGAAAAGGAATTCACGATGCTTAATGCTCCGTTGCTGAAGAATGAAGCTTTTGGAGCTACTCTGCACAAGGAGGATGAGGTTTTGAACCTTCCGTTCAAAAGGGCACATATGCCAGCCAAGAAAGCAAAATCCTGAACCACGTTCTACACAGAACAAGAATGTTCAGCCGGGTGGGCAAATTCTGCTGATGAGGCATTGTGAGGCTGAATTTTTTCAGAGCTAATGTTGTAAAACTTGAGCAGCTACTTACTTGGAAGAAAAAAAAATATATAGATTTATATTCTATCAATACGGAAAAGGGTCATTTATGCTTGCAAAACTAAGAATATCACAGGTCACCTTAGCCCTGGTGTATTTATGGCTGTGCTAAAGCAGTTAAAGAAAGGAGCTCGGGGAGTTTTCTTTTTAGACCATTTCTGCGCCTCCCTTGCACATGTTAATATTTGCAGGCAGGCAAATAAGAGCTCATCTTGGAGACATCCAACAAGCTACATCCACATGAGCTGCTCTGCTGTCTGCGGACACTCATGGTGCTGACAAACTAGTCAAGCAAAATCTTCAGGAAAGAATCCATGGAAAGAGCCCCTGAACTGCAATAATTTCCAGTTTGCTGCTTAGGTTGGAGCTAAGGACTTAAATGTGTAGCTGGTGCAAGTGTAGGAGCTCTGCAGGAATATTGCAGTTAAATGTAGCAGGAGGGAAACCATAAGCATTTTTAAATCCTATAGAAAAACCACTGTAGCAGCAGCAGTGGGGAAGCTTGCTGATTTTTGTTTCTTTTTGTCTTTCAAAAACACCTGTGTACATCCAAGAACAGGCACTCTGTCTACCTTCCCATTGCCACTTCGGATAACGCCTCTGTGCTCCTTGCTCTCCATGACCACCTGCTTCCTTTGCCTTCTGAAGCTGAACCACATGCAGTTAAGATTCCCTATCCAAACACAAACAGGAAAACTCTACCTGCAAATTTACACCAGCAAAAGCAACAAAAAACCAAACCCGTGAAACATACACAAAATTACGCCAAATAACGAATAAGGCTGTAGAAGAGCACAGTCTTGCCAAGAAAATACCATTCACTGAGATGTGCAACAGATGTGCAACCTGCTGCAGGTTAGAGAGCTGTATGGGCACGGGAACAGTTAATGTTTTAATGTCCCTGCACTGCCCATTCTCCTCGTCACAGCCCATTGCCAGAAAAGCAGCAGTGTTATCCATCATTTTTAGTAAGGCTTCAGTTCTCTAAAGTTATCTTTGGATTCTTTGCATCTGGAATATCACATAAGAGCAAGACAGCATTTATGATGAGGTCCCTTACAAAGACAAGCCAAAGTCCATGGCCATCACTGGAAGAGATTCGTGTGCTTGAAAATTGAGAAAGCTGTAAGCAATTTGCAACATAAAGACAAAGCAAAAGCAGCATTTATTAAAATATACTGCTAACATTTTAAGGATTCCAAAACTTCCAGTTCATATATGTAAGAGCCAGATATTTTTCCAAGATGCAAAAGATATCTCCGCAGAGTTCATGGTGCTCTCCACCTTACCTGCACACAGAGAGCCTTTGAATTGGCTGACAACCACAAAGATGGGATTTCCTGACTTTGCAACCAATTTTAGCAACCTATTTAGGAAGCTGTTAAGACAAAAATCT